CTAACAAATGTCTATTTTCTCCCTCCTTACTCTTACTCATGATTAGTTTACCGGGAAGAAAACTCTCTCAATCAATATCCTTACACTTTTCCAAATCACTTAGGATGTAATTGCGTCTATTTTTCTCCTTTGCGAATGACTTACAACAGGTAATAGTTTAGAATGATTGATAAGACAAGTTTGCAAATGTCTTACACTCGTTTCCCTTCTGTCTTCTGTGATATGATTAACACCTGTTATCCCTCTTTTTAATGGTAATTATAATATGTTTTCTCTTTTTCTTTAAAGTATTTTGAGGTGCTGTGAAATTATTTGATTGTAAATTAGATTTGTTTTAAGACATGTTAAAAGACAGATCCATAAGTAATTCCATTTAATAAATCAAGCTCGTATCTTACCCCCCACCCCCCTCGGCAACGTAACCGTTCAGTGTTTCGTTGAAAACAAATTAATCACAGTTTATGTAGTTCTAATAATCCAAAGAACTTTCTCGACGTATTGATATAACTAATTTGACGGAAGTTAACAATCTCTAATAACACCGTGTGATCTCTGAATGCCGATAATAATGATCAAAGACTGATATCTCTCCGCCGGATGTCTCCCTCTCCGACTCGAGTCTCCGGGCGTGGACATATGCTTGCATACTAATTAGGTCATTAGCATAAATCAGTTTTGTGTTATTGGCTGGTGACTCAAGGTCGCTCGAGCCTCGTTGTGCTCCCATAATGAACTTGTAATGTTCCATTTTCGTCTCCTTAATGAGTAGGGGAGACCTTTTTTCAACATTTTCGGATTGATGTTGGCGATTTTAAGGAAGGAAGAAGGCCGAGGGTGTTGGCGAAAGATGAAACATGTTTGATGCATCACCTAGAGAAGTTCATCAAATCTGTCGTAAAGGATGGGATGCAAGTGAGCTCCTTCCTCCTCCCCCCCCCCCCCATCTCGTCGCTTCCTTTTGGCGTGAAGTGTCTATACGGGTGACGTCAGCAAGTTCAAGGTAACATATTACAGAGAGTCAGAGTAAGAGGTCGTGAAACGCTGTTTGTGTGTGTATGTATATATATATATGTGTGTGCGTGTGTGTGTATGTGTGTGTGTGTGTGTGTGTTTGTGTGTGAAATATATACACAACATGTTTCTATAAATTAATGTTATTTCTATTGATTATATGACCATTGTACGTTGTAACGCATCACCATGTTCTTTTATAAATAAGAAGATTACAATTAATTTCTTTGTATTATATCGTGCACACGGAACGCAAAATTGCACGCCATTGTATCATACATAGAGTCATAATTTCCCCTCTATTTACAGGCAGCCATCGCTCCTTGTTTTGGCATTAATGAGAAAGATATGCAAATGCAATCATGCCGAGAGTCGTTTCATATCGGATAAAAACATTGCTCGGAATATTTAGATGGCGCGATATATCTGTTTATAGACACATTGCAAGGTTTGCCATTCACTTTGATGGGATGGGGCGAGAAAACGCGGTCATTTAACCAGGCACTCATGCACATACGCTTGCGATTGTGTATGGATACATATGCATTTAGACAAGAGTACATACATGCATATATATATATATATATATATATATATATATATATATATATATATATATATATATATAAATATATATATATATATATATATATATATATATATATATATATATATAGATAGTGTGTGTGTGTGCAATATATATATTGTACAATATATATATATATATATATATATATATATATATATATATATATATATGTATGTATATATATATATATACATATATATAGTGTGCACATGCACATGTACGCAACAGAAACGATGTTTGTATGTAGTTCGAATATACAAAAGCACACACACACACACACGCACACATACAAACACACACACACACACACACGCACGTACACGCAAGATTATTACCATTGACCCAAGAAATTGAATATTAACACCTAACCTCCCGGCGGCGGCGGCTGAATGCATCGGCCCCGCCATGGAACGCGGCCTCCTCGCCTCTCGACTCCATTCCCTCATTTCCTCTTTCTCTTCCTATCGATCTGTGTGCGTATGTGCGTATTATACTTACATACTTACATACATGCATACATACATAATACATACATACATACACACACACACACACACACACACATACACACACACACACACATACACACACACACACACATACACACACACACACACACACACACACACATATATATATATATATATATATATATATATATATATATACATATATATGAATATATACATACACTGCACATGTATATATTTGTACATACATACATGTATATATATATATATATATATATATATATATATATATATATATATATATTTATATATATATATATATATACGTATATATATATAAATATATATAAGTATCTTTATAAAGATAGATAAATGGAGATAGATATAGATGGATAGGATATATAGAAAGATGACTTAATGAAAAAAATGG